TTAGAGCTAAAAAACAAACCATAAAATCCAAAAAGACTAATAGCAATAATAATACATGATGGTGATTGATACATGTGAGATAAATGTTACCCAATATTGAAAATACATTAGAAACTACATTTGCTTTCTGATCTACCTACCCAAAATACAATGCTTCAATGATGGCAAACAAGGAGTTAGTTTAGCTTCACTCTTTTCTCTCCTCTTTTCCCCCTTCCATCTACATCTGCACCTACTTTTAAGTTTTATTATCTGTACATCAAAGCCACCCTTATAGCATTCCACCCTTTTGAGCTTCACTAGAACACGTACATTTCGCCTTTTTATCTGTGAGAATCTGCACAAAAAAGCCACAAGAAAGGCAATCAGATAATCAGCTTCAGATTTAGAGATTCATATGAGTTTTTTTTTTTTTTTTTTTTTTTTTTTTTTTTTTTTTTTTTTTTTAATGTTACTAACTCTCTTACAATGTAGTATCTGTTCATAAACTATTATATGAGTTTGATTGTCATATAATATAATATACCTGAACTTGTTTCTGAAGTTCTTTAATGTGATCAACTGCCCAGTCTAACATATCTGCTGTGCTTGTTTGCTGCACATATATAAAACATAGGAAATTATGCGAGTTCCAAGCAAATTTGCAGAAGAATATGATCTTTATGGATCGAATTTTACCTTGTCCATCTTTGGGAATAGCTCTTGCAATTTCTTCATTCTTTCGCTAATCCTGGTCCGTCGGTTCTGTAGATATCAACACAACCCGAACAACCATAAACTTCAGTTGATGTAAACACACACAGAGGCAGAGACAGATCAATTCCCATAGAAAAAATTAGATAGAGATCGAGTTAATTACCCTCTCCGCAATGCTTCTTGGGTGAGTGGCGCAGCCTCGTTTGGCACGGATTTTACATGGAACCGCGTCTTGCTGAAAATGCAAATACTTCTCTATCTCAACGGAGCTAGGCAAGCTCAGGTGGTGGGTTAAACCGGGCGTACAGTTCCTTCGTTCGCCCCCGTTCTGATAACACAAAATACAAAAAGTTATAAACACAACTACTGAACCTAATACAATCTGCCACTCGAGCACTAACTGAGTTACCCGTGTGGGCTAATTGGTACCTGAGATTCGATTCCATTGAGAGCAGATAACATCTTGAAGTCACCATCTCTGCTCCTCTTTAAGCAATTGAAAGAAGAGTCATTCCAAGATTCATTTTCTGCTATGCTGGGCATGAAGTTTGAACTGGAAGACTGAGCAGATGAGTAGTTGATGTGATTGTTGAAACCATTTGAGGATAAACCATCATTACCTTTATTATAGTTTCCACCCTCTCTCATTACATCAAACCCTGAAGAGATCCATTCACAAATCTTCAAAAACCCATTCTTCATCATATATATATATATATATATATATATATATATATATATTACCATATAAAGAAATTCAGACTAATTAAGAACACATAATTGATAAATTATCCAAATCTGGAAATATACATCATTTTTTAACACCCCACCCCCCAAAACTCCAGCTTTTTCAGGTATAAAAGGATTCATAGTTGGAAAAGAAGATATTAGACATCTTTCTTTCTTTCTTTCTTTCTCCATATTCACAGAGATAACAAGTCAACTCTATATGAAAACAAAAAAGTCAGATAATCCCCGGCCAAAAACATAAGATCTAAGAGAAACAAGAGGTACATAATCACCAAAATAAGAACTTTGGGTGCCGGAGAGCAGAAAACGGAAAGTTTACCGGAGAAGAAACCGGCCGGCGAGCTGCTTTGGCGGATGAGATTAGAGGGATTCCTGAACTGTTGTTGCCGCATTTGGGCCTGCATCTCCATCTCCACGCCATAAGATCCCATCTCGGGAGCTTCATAAACCATCTGCTGAGCCTCGCTGCTCTGCTTGTGGCTCTCCTCCGCCGCCATCTCCGGCTTCAGAAACTGCACAGAATTCTTCAGATCGCGCGAGTCGCAATTCAGGATGGACGAGAACATGGTCTCCGAGTCGGAGCTGGAGGAGCCGTCGTTCACCATGAAGCTGTCCGCAGCGTCGTTCGCGGCGGCGGCGGCGGCGCTGTCCATGATGCCGGCGAAGAAGGAGCTCGGAGCTGAGCGGTATCGCATCAGCCCGCCGCCGCTGCTGCTCTGCTGCTGATAAAGATCCGAACCCATCACTTCTTTGCTCTTCAGGAACTCATTACTCTGCATATCATTCTTGTAACCGGAATTAGCAGGCGGGAACAAGAAGCTGCTGGCGCTCCCACCGGTCAACTCTCTGGAAATCGGAGCTTCTGAGCTAAACATGGGCGCAGTTTTTTCAAGAATCGTGGAAGAAATCTGAGGAAAGGGGGAGAGGATTTATGGGTCTGAACCAAAAACGATACAAGGTTATGGAATTGGCTCAAATCCGCATAGATTTCTGGGAAGAAAAACCAGGAATGGCATGTGAGACAGAAAGCGATCTGGCTGCCTATCTCGTGTTTGGGCTATATTTATCGAGTACAACCACTTAGGCACTTACCCAATGTGAGTGGGGGACTTGAAATGACGAATCTACCCTTGTTGAAAGGTATGCTGCTCAGATGTTTCCCACCCTCACTTTCCTCCTTTTTAGCTTTTGTCTTTTGTTGTTAATATAAAGGGGAATGGGTTTTAGGTTTGTGTAATTGTTTATGTTTAGGAAAATACTATCGCCCAGTTTGGTAAATGGTTGTTAACTGTTAACTGATTGAGTTAATTAAATAGTATAATTAGTTAATAACATTAGTTGATTGTAGAAAAATATTTGGTAAATTAGCTGTTAGCTGATAGCGGTTTGGTATAAATTATTTTTTTTTTCAAAAAGCTAATCGAAAAGGCTGCTTTAAGCAGTTTTTTGAATTTTAGCATTTTAGAGTTGATTTTTTAACCATGTCAAACAATTAATAGTGGTCAAATAAGCCAAAATTGACTATTAGACTAATATTTTACCAAATAGGGCCTATACGTACTACCATTTTATACTCCCAGTTTTTATTCTCGTACACAAAATTTTGATGTAGATACTTGTATTGGGATCCACATAACAAAATAGCTTATCAGAGCTTATTATATTCTCGTGCACTTTTGGTCCCACGACTATAGTAGCACTATCAGAATTAATCCACGACTTTCAAACCTTGCAATTTTAGTCCACGACTATTATTTTTTTGGTAAAAATAGTCCTTCCGACCACTTTTTCGTCAAAATTTCATCGGAGGAAATTTTTTCCATTTTTAGGAGGACTAAAATGGCTAAATTTGCCTAGTACGAAAAGTGCAGAATATGCTTTTATATAAAGTGTTTTGCAAACCTGTAGTATTGATGTTGTTATTGTAAGCGAAATGTCAAATTTAGCCCTCTTAAAAATGAAGAAATTTTTCTCTGGTAAATTTTGACAGAAAAGTGACCGGAAGACCATTTTTGCCAAAAAAAAAAAAAAAAAAACAATAGTCGTGACTAAAATTGCAAGATTTGAAAGTCATGAATCAATTCTGATAGTGTCATTATAGTCGTGAGACTAAAAGTGCAAAAAAGTCATAGATGTTGTATAACTTATGTTTAAGATGGATAGTTCGCATTTTTACCCCTGAACTCAAAGTTTCTAATTTTTGAAATTTGCTCTAATCATACACGATTACACCACCTCTAGAAATGACACTTCAACTTTTGGATATTTATCCTGCTCCCCATATATTCATATTCTAGATAGGATTAAATATACCTAGATATTAGGTCAATATATTCCAACCAATAATAAAAGTGGTAATATACTCTGATACTAATTGTCAGATTAACCGCTTATCACTATACTAAAATGTATATTTAGGGTGTGCATGTTTGGTTGACAAATTTAGCTCTAAAGAATGAGTATCAAAGTGATTGGTATTGTTTGGTTAATAGGTTTTTAGAACACTACTATGAGTTTTAAATATCCCTTAATTGAAAAATTCATACCCAAATAAAATAAGGGTATCATCCCCTTTCATTCCCTTATTCCTTCTCATCCCCTTTGATTAGTGCTTTTAGATTTTTGTTTTTTGTTTTTTGTTTTTTTTGTTCATATTGGTATTTTAGATGTCTTTATATTAGAATTGTCTTGATTTTGTGTTCTTGTATTTTTAAAATCTTTATTCTCGTTATTAGATCATACATAACCAAACAACATTATTGATAATCATTCTCATCCCACCCTACCAAAACATATATGCAAAATACTTTCACTCCATTACTATTACTAAGTATTTGATACCCATTCTGATTCAGATTTCCATGTGCGAACCAAACACACCCTTAGTACCAAAGACACAACTTAAATTCTTAATACTAGATTGCAGAACAATTACTATCACATTTTAATGGTACGATGTTGGACTCGTCCCGTTAAGCCGCCGCCCAACAATTTCTCAATGAGTAAATGGTGAGTAAATGAAATGTGGCATGGTATCGGGAGGATATGCAACCCTATCTCATGAAAAGTGAGAGTTAGTTTATTTTCTCTCTACAAATTAATATCTCATAGTTTACTTTTTATTTACTCATTAAAATAGTGATTTGTTAATTTATTATTGGTTGGAAAATATATTGACGTAGTATACGAGGTATATCTAATCCTATCTCACTATTTTATCAACAAATTCAATTGATAGAGCTTATAATGTTATAAATTTGACATTATTGCAAATAAATTGAAATAATATAAATCGTAATTAAGAGGTTACTAGCTAATTTCTTAGAAGATGATATTTTAGGATGACTGTTCTAGAATATCAAGTTGAAAGTGACTATATTAACTATAAGATAGTAATCACTTGTAGTGAAATCTAATACTCAAATAGCTTATGCTAAGAATAAAGGTGTGTTTATAGAATTCCGTCAATCGAAATGTAATCATAAATATATAATTTTCTTAAATTGTGATAATATGAACTTGTAGCTTAAATGGTAATTAATACACAAAATTTTTGGTGATATTAAATCGCATTCGTTGATCACCTACTCTGATTTTCACATATTACTCGATTAAATTTAGATAATCTAGACTATCATTTACTTGATGGACTTACCTAAGTATAATTAAGAAAACATCACTTAATAATTGAACAGTATTCACCATGGCACTTTAATCACACTTGTATGGTAATATAATATATACTCTTTAATTAATCTTCTAAGGATCAAGAAAAATTATATTCCTTATTATTAGGAGAAATAATAATAATTAAAAACAATATACACACATGCATAAGTGCATAACTAATATGTCTGTGTGTGGATATTATTTTTTTTTTAAAGATTTAATTTATGAAAAGAATTTTATAGAAACCTCAAAGAGTTTATTCTAAGTAATAAATAAATAAAAGAGTTTACTTAAAGTAATGAATGAAAATGCAGAAAATTCAGGGAGCTAAGCTAAAGTGAGATTATCCCTTTTTAATTAAGCTGACATACATCACCATCGTTCGGCTAAAGAAAGGAAGCTCGCTAATGGTAATTAACTAATTATTAATTATATAATGATAATCAAACATCATGAAAAAAAAAAAAAAAAAAAACATAGTATCTGCGGCTAAACGTGAATCGGCGATCTAATTGGGGTGTTCTTTGGTGACTAGGAAGAGACTAAGCAAGTGGGCTGTATGTTTAAGGCTTTCTATTCTGATTATCACCGGTGCTTAGCTAATTAATTAACGTTAATCCCACGTCTTGTAAACTAACATATATGACATGTCCCTTTTAATCTTTTTTTTTCTCATTTCATTAAAATATGGTGTTTTGTTGGCTTATTTGCACTTGTTGCCCCCAACGTTGTACATATTTCGATTATATTATTCTAACCCGGCCTTATCTGCAAATATATATATGCAGATACTCTTTGTGGGATATATTCTCCTGCACCTATCTTATCTGTTAATAATATAGTGGGAAATTATATTGAGACTATTGGAATGAAATTAGAATTGAAGAGTTATTGATACGAACTCAGGTCACAATTAACAATTGCCTGTAGTTGGCGATTAGCATGGTGGTGTGAGCATACATCCGCTCTATTTATGTGACTCTGATACTAAATGATACGAATCTAGATCTTACATGATGTTTGATTAGGTGGAAGAAATTAACAGAAAACAAATTGTAATTCGGTGGGAAAAGAATAAAGTATGAATTTAAATTACATTATTTGAGGGTGGGGGGATTAGAATTATTGAAAATGGGAAAAGAAGAAGTGATATAAAGACTAAAGTACTCTTGTGTAATAATAATAATAATAATAATAATCTAAAAACATAATAAGTTTCAATCAAAGTTATATCCCCCATTTATATCGATGTTTTTAATGCTAATCGTTTTGTACATTGTGCTTTTAGAGTTGTAATATATAATTTTTGGACAAAAATACCCCTTCCGTTATAACTTCCGTTATCTTTTCCATTATTGTTACCATGCACATGCATCCACCATATATTTTCTTATATTCTTTAATGATAATAATATTTGTAGACATTATATATTGGATTATTAAAATAAATAAATTTGATTTCATATAGATTTTAATTAGTAGGAATTTGTTAGTTATTTTAAAAAGTATAAATATTGGGCATATGTTTTTGCGCACCGCGCATATAAAAGACTAGTAATAATAATAAAGGACAAATATGTCATTTTTTGCATTTTTTTTTTAATGTTCTTTCCTTTTTACGCTGAATTTCAATTCATATTGGAGAAATTAAAATATGAATTCTAATTCATTGAATTGAGAGAATTGAAATTCCATTGAATTGGAATTTCCTCCAACCATATATACAAACATAATTTCGCCATTCAAAGAGTAATATTGCAATTGAATTATATTGCAAATACACTCTACCAAACACACTCAGCGTGTGTTTGAACTAAGCCTTATACTTTTATATGGATTAAAACATCAATAGCTGATTTAAAAGACATCAATTATTAATTTCAATTTTGATTCTTTAATTATTGTATTTTTAAAAATTTTATATTTAAAATTGATCATAACTATTGAAAAAGTATAATACTTGAGGAATTAAAATTGTTAACTTGAAAGAAAATTATAATCTTTTTTTTTCCTTAATTTCTCTGGATTTTTCATTATTTTTGACCGAACAAGAATCTTTACTTGAGCTTCTTTTAACCATTAGACCAAAGAGATTAATAATAGTGGCTTTTTAATAACACTATCAGATAATGAGATAAAAATAGAACTACTATTTTTGAGAATCAAATTCAAAGGCCTTTGATTCTTCACCTAAAATAATGAGCTATTACATGGCTTATATTGGCTTTATAATAACTAAGAGATAATGAGATAAAGTTCAATTATTATTTTTGAGAATCAAACTCAAAGGTCTTAGATTCTTCACCTGAGTTAATACCATCCGAGGTCCTCCGAGTATAGTAATTTTGCCACTTTTAGTCTTAAACTTTCAAATTGACCATCTGTGGCCTTTCGACTTTCAAATTTAACCATCCGTGGTCCAAGTTAACCACACATGGTCCTTCAACTATTAAATTTTAACCAACCATGGTCCTTTTAAGAGGACCACGACTGGTGAAATTTCGAAACTTGAAGGACCATGGGTGGTTAACTTAGACCACGAATGGTTAAATTTGAAAGTCGAAGGACCACAAATGGTCAATTTGAAAGTTTAAGACTAAACGTGGCAAAACCACTATACTCGGAGGACCTCAGATGGTATTAACTCTTCTTCACCTCAAATAACTCGACTCAATCAGCAGAATATTGGGAAAGTTACGTTTATTTTGTATTTGTTTGACAATTACAATAGATTATTATATTAATTGAAAATTGCTTATTGTGTTAATCGTTTTGACTAACAGGTAGGGTGTTAGCGAACAGAGCTTTCGACAAACTGCTCGTGTTTGTGTTCGGTAAGCGTTCGTTTATGTTCATTTGTTAAGGTAAACGAACCGTTAACAAACAAAAATTAGAGCTCGGTTAATAAACGAACAGAGCTTGAACAGTTGTATGCTCGTTTGCTAAGAGATCGTGAACAAGCTTGTCTGTGTTCGTTTAATAATGTTCGTGAACAAGCTCGTTTGTGTTCGTTTAATAATGTTCGTGAACAAGCTCGTTTAGTGTTCGTTTAATAATGTTCGCGAACATGAACGTAGATTATTTCTTGTTCACGAACGAATTGTGATCATGAACATGTGCAGGCGTTTGGTTATTAAAGGTTCACAAACATGTTCATGAACGTAAACCAACATGTTTGTGAACGTGTTTGTTAACGAACACGTTCGTGAACATGTTCGCGAACATTGACAAACACGTTTGCGAATGTGTTCGTTAACGTAAACGAACACGTTCGTGAACGTGTTCGCGAACGTTAACAAACACTAATGAACGCTTAATAAACAAACACGAACAGGATTTTCAAAAACCTTAACAACCGAACACGAATACGAACACCCTAAAATTCTTAACAAACGAATACGAACAACCTTCGTTCGTTTATGTTCGGTTCGTTAACAGCCCTACTAACAGGTAATATTAATTGATGGTAGAAACGTTTGATAAAATGAGTGATTTACTATTAGCCACTAACATATAATATAAAATGACTTATAAAATAGTTATATTTTGTTATTTATTTAACTATTTCTAAAGTACATTTAATTTTAGATATCAATTTCATTAAAGTAAATAAATTTAAGGTGAAGAATCAAAGGCCCTTTTAGTTACAAGAAATTTTTTTGTTCTTACAATTGAATTCCTTACAAGAATTTTTTTGTTCTTTAAACCATTTAAACTAATAAAAGAGTATCATTGAATTCAAATGTTAACTATTTAGTGGATTATTAATACTACTAATGTGGCTAACATGACTTTCTTATATATACATGGATCGGATCACAAGTATACCATATTTATTTATTTATTTATTTTGAATTCTATTTAAAAACAACTGTACCATTGGCTTAAAAGTATATATAAAAAAAGATCGAAAAGGTATACACTTGAGATTTACATAAGTATAAAAGAGTTGTGTTTTCCATTTTTACTTTAACCTACTGAATAAGCACCATTTGGGCTCAATTAAAAAAAAGCTAAATTCAATTCAATAGAGCTTTTATTCAGTTAGCTAGAGTACGTACTCAATTGCACTATTGATTTATTGACTTCATTTAGGAGGGCTTATTTCACATATTTACTACTTTTTTTTTTTAATTGTTATAACAAAGGAAGGGGATACTCACATATATATACAATATAGACCTACACCAAAACTTGAACCCTAGACCTCCCACATAAAAAAACAACCAGATACCAACAAACCACAAGGTCCTTAGTTGTTTGTTTTTGTTGTTAATAATAATCATTTATTATTTATATAAAAAATCATTTATATATTTAAAAATGACTAATATATATATATATATATATATATATATATATATATATATATATATATATATATATATATATATATATATATAATTCCACCAGAGGTCCCTTGTCTTTGATAATCATTCCAAATTTAGTCTCAGACTATTATTTTTGCTATTTAACATCCCAAACTATTGTTTTTTGGACACTTTTAGTCATTCTCATGACTTTTTCTATTTTTAGTAAGGACATTTTTTATTTCTTTATATTTTTCTTTTGTTATTTTTCCGATTTCAACTGATTTAATTGGTTTCGAACTTTACTAAATATCGATTGAAAAATATGGTTATTAAAAATTAGAGGTTACCTAAAGACATACACCAATTAAACTGGTTGAAACCAGAAAAATAACAAAAGAAAAATATGAAAAGACAAAAATGCCTTCACTAAATATAGGAAAAGTCATGAGAAGTACTAAAAGTGTCTAAAAAAATAATAGTCTGGAATGTTAAATGGCAAAAATGATCATCTGGGACTAAATTTGAAATTGCAACCAAAGACAAAGGACCTCTATTGGAATTAACTATATATATATATATATATATATATATATATATATATATATATAAAAGGAAACTATGTTTAAGTATTAGGCCATTTGTATCCTTGCAATATTCTCTCATTTTTAAAAGTGGATATTACTTCCATATCATCAAATTTGCAATTTCCTTACTATTTTCTCTACATCTTTGCAATATTCTATCACTTTTAAAAGTGGGTCATACTTCCAATTACCAAATTTACAATTCATTTACTATTTTCTTTATATCCATGCAATACTCACTTACTTTTAAAGGGATCCCACTTTCACATCACATCACATCAAAACAAATCAAAACAAAATAAATAAAGAATCAAAAGCTAAAATAAAAAAAATACAAAATTAAACATTGCGGCAACCTTTTGTACGGGTTGCAAACTTGCAGCAGTTGTAAGTTTGCAACACACACACACATATATATATACCAAAGACTTTGTGGTCATCGGGATAATTGTGGCTCTTTCAAAGGGAAGATCAAAGGTTCAGATTTCAACATTAGGAAGTGTTTTAGTAAGATGACATGAGAGAGAAAATTTGTCAACTCTTGTTGAATTTTGCCAAACAAGAGTTTTGTTTGTCATAGCATATAAGAGTGTAAAGAGCCCATCCAGACTGAAATTAATTTGATCTAGAATAGTACCACATATGAAAATATCTATCATATGGAATAAAAGAGAGTGGCATTGCATGCATTTGATTTGTTCATTAATGAATTTAGATAAGATGCATGGCTGATTAGGTGGTCCTGTACTTTATCTCCAATCATATTAGTCAAATTTGGTAACCTGAGACCGTGTCTATCTTCATTGTTTCCGTTTTGTGGACTGAAATGAATGGCCAAGCTACGTTCTTATGTCCAAGTCTCAGTCCCATTGTATGATTACCATGGCCACCGAGAAAACTTATAACCACATGCATCTTGTGTATCATAAATAAAGATGTAATTCCCAATCATATCATTGGTGGATAGAGAAAGGTAATTCTTATCCATCCGTAAATGATTAACTATTGATGTGAGTCCAATTGAGCACATTTTTAGTATTAGTTTGATTATATCTGTTAGGCTTAAATTCATGATTTAGGTAATTTAATTGCATAATCCTTTGTTTTATTATTTAGGCGTGATTCACACTTGTTTTGAATATTTTACGGTGTTTGTTAGTGTTTTGGAATCATTGTAGGTCACGAGCAAAGACAAGGGAAGTTCAGAGACAAATTTGGAGTCAAAGCGGACCGAAAGAGGCATGCACAGCAAGTTCAATGCGTCCAAATTTTTCAGAACGTGTTTCAGTCGAGGTCAGCGAGGCTCGACACGTCGAGCGGTCATGAGCAAACATCTCGCAAAATCGACATCAAGTTTGATGCGTCGAGCGAGCCGCTCGACGCGTCGAACTATTCCAGTAAGGCCGAGCTCGACGCGTCGAGCCGGCGAAAATCCAGTTGCGATTTTGAGCCCGTTTTCACTCAGATTTCTTCTATTTCGACCGGGATTGGTTCCAGCTATAAAATCTCACATCCCTCAACCCTAATATTCATTCAGAGATCTTTGGAGATAAGGAGAAGAGAAATCAAGAGCTACGAGTCGTCTTTGGAGTAAGAAGAAAGCTAGGGATATTTGGAAAAATTGCATGGTTCAATCTTGTACTATTTTTGATGATTTGTCATTCCTTTATTATATTTGTTGTGTATAATTTAGCCGTTCTTGGCTAAATTCATTTAGAGATTCTTGGGTAAAAGTGTTTATGAACCTATGTGTCTGTGCTCTCAGATTCTTTAATATATTATTATTTGGATTTTAAACTTGTGTTGCGATTGTGCTTATTGTTGTAGTTGCGAGTAGTTCAGGGCCCGGATTACTTGTTTCATTGCTTTGTTTATGTCATAACGGGAGTTAGGCATAATTGAGAGTTCACACAATTGTACTTAACTTTTGCACCTTAGGAAATGACATATTTGTTACGGAGTTTAATTCTTGATTATTGCACATCGGGAGATGGTAGTGGTTAGGGATTATTTATGATTGCTTGTTCTTATTCTTATTGGGTGTTTATACCACAGAAGTGGATATTCATTAGTGTTAGTGACTACGGGAGTAACTCTATACCACCTTGCATCCTCACACTCGTTTAAACCCGTCCAGATTTAATATTACATTAGGTTAGGCACTAGGGGATAAAACACTTGAATCCCAGGAATCTCAAATCTCTCTTGCTCTATTGTTTTCAAAACTCTGAATCATTGCTTTATTTTATTTATTTAATATAATCATCCAAATCAATCATTAGGATTAGCTTCATAGAATAAATTAGTAGCTAGTGCTTAATATCCCACTTCCTATAGATCGATTACCCGATACTCTGAGTATTATTTGTTCAAAAATATACTACAACCAACTATAATGCATGACTTATTAGGTCAAAGTCAATAATGTCAAACGAAAAGATTGTACTTAAGAAATACAAATCAATTATCACTAAGGTATGTCTTAGGACTTTTCACCTAATTGGGTATTTTGTCCCTTATTAGGAAACTCACTGGATGGAAGATAAAACAAGCATACTTATTATCACTATAAAAATAATTGAAGCATGTGCTCCATCTTAATTAAAAGTCTAATATAAACTGATAGTTGAATTGCACATTTATATGTTTATATTATATGCTCAGCAAAGATGAGGGGGCCGAGGCTGTTATACATGCATCATTCTAAAGCTCATTGTCTAAGGATGATAACAAATTAAATCAACTACTTTGTACACTACTTATTAGCATGCTTTTATTAGATTAGTTAGTTTTAATATAACCTTATATATATATATATATATATATATATATATATATATATATATATATATATACTTTCATCCGTGGGGTTTTGTGAATTATATTCAATATATTATATTGCGATTCTAACCTATTTTGAGTGATTTGAGCAATTTCTTTGAGTTTTTAATTATTATTACCTTACACTTGATTAATTACTTACTTTTAGGAGAACTATATATTATTCCCAATACCCACTATTGAATATATTAATCAGTAACTTGATTAGGATGATTGTAGTGGATTGTGTTGTATCCTTGCTTAACTTAAACACTACGGTGTGTGTTCATGGGAGTGATCAAATAAGAACATTCGTTAAGAAGAAAAAAAGCGAGTCAATTAGAGTTGTTTATCTAGAAAGATTTAAAATTAAAGCTTTAAAGTAAGAAGAAAATATGCTGACATTTTTACAAATAACTCAAACTTTAAATTCAGTTAACATCAATATAGAGTGTATCTTGCGATATATGTTTATGGTTTTTTGTTTTTTGTTTTTTGTTTTTTTGTTTTTTTTAGGGTTTAGAATTCATTTTTTACTATTTAAAATTTAATATTTAACTTTAGAGTACACATAGCAATATCATAAAGTACGCATAACAATAATATAAAATGCACCCAACAATTAACGTCAATGTTGAATTATACCAAATACTATACATATCATTCTTCCAAAAAATACTATACATATCATGTATGTATGCTTGGTTGTACCAATAATTAAGTATTGTTGGTACTGGCACTAGCAATATTCGAAGCAATATAATTAAACATATATATAGTTTGCATATGGTATGACTTGGCACCTTAGAGAAAACCATGCATCATAATCTTCCTATAATAATAAACCTCTCTTGTGCAGTTTGCGATTATGACAAAAAAATTAAATTTATCCCGTACATACCATCGAATAATGGATGGATGTTTTATTTGTCAAAATTTGGTAAGATTAAAGCTTCAGGTTAAACTTAGTTTATTCTATTTCTATCCCTCACTATATATATAATGAAATTTCTAATTATGATGATTCACTTTGATTTTTTTTCTTTTCATTTTTAATGCTCAATTTATAAAATATACTACTTTTACTCCAAAACTTTCTCACATACAATAAAATAATGACATCTTGAACATTTTGAATTAAAATTAAAATCATGTTAAACCTAATTGAGTAGTTTGAATTTGCATTATCGTAAACTTAATTTTGAGATTAGAGTCATTGGTAGCTAGGAGTATAATGAGTCCTCTGACCTGTAATTAATATAGAGTTATAAAAATAAGGATAAATTTTCAAATTCCAATTAACTACTACGACGTACTACTACGTACATTGTATGAAGCAATTAGGCTAACGTCCTCCCTAATTATTAAGCTTATCTAGTTGGGCATTAATTTATATTTACTTAGTACTAAATTCATTTATTGCTTATCACTGAAGTCACGATACTCTCAATGTGACAATGTCCACATGGTAAAATTATAAATTATATAGGCTCCCTAGATAAGGGTAACATACATGTGATATTTTAGGCAGCAAAGCTGGCTCCTTTGACCCCATACAAAATGTCCACGCTTATACCTCTAAAATAAAACCTGCGAATCTGCGATACCAGATACTAGCCAGGATGTTTGGTTTCATGTCTGGTGGTATGCCAGTATTCCCATTTCTTATTGCATAATTATGAATGCTGACCTGGTGTACGCCAAATCGTCTCGTAAATGGTTTTTTTTTTTTTTTTTTTTTTTTTTTTTTTTTTCCTCTTATAGGCCTTTTATTTTATTTTATTTTATTTGTTTTTTTGAAAACCGGCCTTTTATTGTTGTTATCTAAAAAACAAGCCTATATCTCACAAAATGTATTACTTTTCACTCAAAATGTAATAATTTTGAAGTGGGCAAAATAATTTGTAAGCAAAGTGGGCAAAATAAGATGGAAGTAGGATACAACGTCATGAGGAGCTCTCACGCACATGAACTAAGACATGAAACCAACTTCAGAGAGTCATCTCTGCTAGCATGAGCGGTGTCACGCTCGTGATATATCCCGTGAGACAAATTTCTGTATGCAGGTTCTGTTGGAAAATTCTGAGAGAGAGAGAGAGAGTTTGTTGGAAAATTAAAGAGAAAATACCACAACCTCTTATTTGTTTGTGGCTGAATTTTTCACAGCTTCTCATTTTATTGTGGCCAGCACCTTTCTCTCCCTTATGTGGCTCGAGTGGAGGACCTGTTTACTACATAAACAACTCCTACCACCTTTATCAAAAGACACTCAACAATCATCTTCTTATCCTTCTTTCTTTTTTCCCTCTGTGTAATCATCTGAGCAAAGTCAGGTTCACCTACGCTGTAGTTGGTGCGAACTAAGCGTAGTTAATCTGTGTAGCCTGTTGAAAGTGTGCCAGGGTTCTTACTGCACCGTTACCGGCAAATAACGCTTTTAAGGTAGTGTTATTATAACACGGCACAGACTCCCTTTCAGTCTTACACTTGTGTTGTCCAGGTTCTTTAAAAGCTTTCTAGCCGAGCGTTGACGTTGTTGATATTTTGTCAACAATTAAAAGCGTTATTTTAGCAACAGTCAACTACTCGAATCATGGAACATATTATAATAATTTTTTGCGACATGATGGTGTAGCAACAACAGAGATTAGCAGTGGAAGGTAGTAGCTTCATACAGAACAATACTGGTGAAGCACACTGCTTCGACTTATGTGTAACCTTTAAGCAAGGTACAACATATAATTATTGGGTTCATATCGGAGCTTTGACCATACTCCGATGAGGTTTGTCCCCTCATATTTTAATATGATACATGCATATTTATATGATAATAGACTATCATATGCAAATGATTATTTTGAGCACAAGTAGTCATATATTATTGGGCATTGACCATATTCCATTAAAACTATCATAATGGCATAATTTAAAATATGGTTTGCCTATATCTTTGCATCCATTTGATTATTATATTTTGAGAGTATTTGAAACGTACGTGAAATATATATTGTGACAAACATTTTAGAAATCACCATTTCATATTTTATATGGTGAGTGCTTTGAATATTATAGAGAAAATTAACAGCGGTGTACACAAGGATAAGTGAATTGTTATTATTCACATGGATGGGCTTTATGATTTTGTTGTGTTAGAAGTGTTGATTTAACACTACTGTTAAGTGATTAAATCATCAATCTGATTTAAAGCTTATAAATTGTGTATTTATGCACATATCGAATTTATAACATTATGTGTTATATTGTGGATATGTCACAAACATTGCACTATTTGATGAGATACATATATGTTTTACAGTCACTTAATCTTAAATATATGAATTGTACACCGAGACTAAATTCCAAGGCTTTACTCACATTGTGGTGGTAGCATGGAAAAGTCATTCTTCTTGAATACTCTGTCTAAGAAGATGGTTTTTAAGTAAACTTCGGTTTCACCACTCGACCTGGGAATTTTTAAGAAGTAGGGTGTTAATCATGCAGGCTAGTTAGAACGCCACTTGATCTTCACCTTAAATGAGGTTGACTTTCATATGTTGTTAAACAATCAAAGCCTTGCAATAGAAATTGTTGAAGTACTGCAATAGTAATATTGATCTGTATCATATGAATGCTTTATATGAGTTTAATTTCCTTAATTGAAGGAAAAAATGTGCAAGTTGAGTAACTTTGAGTATTAAAGTTATACTTTCTGAACTCACATTGAAGAGATATATTCCCTAATAAATATTAGTTTAAACACAGTCTTTGCGCGTGAGATTAATTTCTTTTAAGAATATGAGGTGATATTTGTGATTATGTTGTTCAACTTGAAGTAGCATTCAGACAACATTACCTCTATAGCTTACTAACAATGAGCACTTGTATATATTATTTAAACTCTTAGTTGAGTCATCTTGAAAGACCTATAATCTCTGTTTAAAGGGTAATTATGATGGGTTAAGATAACCAAGTTTGTTGAAATATACACAACTATTGAGTATGTATCGGTAAAGTGCAGAGCTACTATAATGCTCCACAAAGCAAATTTGCAAAACTCAATCTACAAAGGAACTAATGTTGGGCACCAAAAGTCAATCTGGGTAAGAGATCAAATACATTTGAGAAGAATATTTGTAAGTGTTGCATTGTGGGGGTAATTAACTCCATATATATTTCTTTCCTAAAATTCTTTCTGTGGTACCAACAATAATGGTGAAAGAGAAGTTTCATGTCGAACATGAAAATCTTAAGGGAATTATTTTGTGAGTAAATAAAGTACTCATCGTAAGTTTGATCGAGATGATCAACTTACTTTAATAGAAATGACTAATTATGAGGTTAGTCGTTGAATTATTGGAATGACTTAAAGCCCAAGAGGTGATGAATTTGTGGTGGGTCCCACTTTTGTGGTCAAACGAAGCCATGAAAAGAATCACAAAGTAGTACACTAATTGGTAATTCCTACAATGTGTGTACTTGTGAGGTTGAGCCACAGCTCTTAATGAATTCATAACCCTATGAGAATGGTGGTTTTGTTGAGACAGACCTAATGAATTCGCCGCATAATGCTTGAGTACAAAAGTGCTCTTGATAATTCATACTCAATTGGTGGGGGGGGGGGGGGGGGGGTCTATTTGGAGATAGACCTAATGAGATACCTGACATGAGTGAAAAAGGGTTAACCGACCCTTATGAAAGATAATAGGGGTATCCCAAGAAACCGAGTGGTTAATAAATATGTTGATAAACATGTAGTTGTGGGGGTGTCCAACACCTTCAATTCACTACATATACATTGTGATTCACAAACTGTCATTTGCATTGCAAAGAACAATGCCTATGATAGAAAGAAAAGACTTACAATTGATTTATGTCTTTAAACACTCTATAAGCCTTTAAAGGTGGTCTATACTGAGATAGACTTGGTAGAGTTAAAAGTCCATATTGAGATGCACTTGACAAGACATAAAAATCTATAATGAGCCAGAAGTATTAAAGGAATGGACATAAGAATGGGCGCATCATGACATCGTAAGATGTCTCGCCCGAATAAGACTTGTCAAAGTTAAAAGTCTATGTTGAGATAGACTTGGACAGGATGGAGGTCTATATTAAGATAGACATAACAGACTTGAATACTAGGGGTATTTATAAGAAGTCAAAGAATTTGACTTTCGTAAAACCTGCTTATTAGAGTTGGTGTGTGCATTAGAGTTCAAAATTTATCTAACCGGTGAGTTCAAGATTCATATCACTCTTGGGAAGAAAATTACTCAGTGTCACTACGTGTCAGTTCGAGTTCTCAAACACTGACATTAAGATCAACTCGTTTATATTGCTCATGCATTATTTCTTTAGCCTTCTACTTTGAATATATGGGGGATCATCATTTCTTGTGAATAACTTAGACAAGTCTTTGCATCTCAACTAAGAATTTGTGGGGGATTGTTGGAAAATTCAGAGAGAGAGAGAGAGAGAGAGAGAGAGAGAGAGAGAGAGAGAGAGAGAGAGAGAGAGAGAGAGAGAGAGAGAGAGATTGTTGGAAAATTAAAGAGAAAATACCACAACCTCTTATTTGTTTGTGGCTGACTTTTTCACAACCTCTCATTTTATTATGGCCAGCACCTTTCTCTCCCTTATGTGGCTGGAGTGGAGGAGATGTTTACTATATAAACAACTCTTACCACCTTTATCAAAAAACACTCAACAATCATCTTCTTATCCTTCTTTCTTTATTCCCTCTATGTAATCATCTGAACAAAGTCAGGTTCACCTACGCTATAGTTGGTGTGAAATAAATGTAGTTAGTCTGTGTAACCTGTCGAAAGCGTTCCAGGGTTCTGACTGCACCGTTATCAGGCAAATAACGTTTTTAAGGTAGTGTTATTATAACACGACATAGACTCCCTTTCAGTCTTACACTTGTGTTGTCCTGCTTCCTTAAAAGCTTTCTAGCCACGCGTTGATGTTGTTGATATTAAGCCAACACTAATGTCACGCTAGGCTATTATGTCGTGAAGAAGGCTCATGAAAGGAACTTCATAATGAAGCTTCTACTATCACACCTAGTATCACGTCGATGTAGCTTGTTAGAGACTATCTTCAAAGAGCTTGTTATGGATGTCACGAGGCTTATCACACAGTGACTGGACTCGTGATACACCTTATTTCGAGGGTATAAAAGAGGTCAAAGTCAATTGAGGGGATTTAGTTAGATTGAGTTTTGCTCTAAACAATTTTCCTCTCATGTTCTTATTTCTTAGAAACCTAGAATACTTTATAATTTCCAATTTGCATTTCAATTCCAATTTCCATTACAAGTTTTTGATAGATTTAAGGAAAAATTGTACTTTTCGTCCATAAGTTATAGTGTAATTGTAGAATTCGTTCCTAAGTGTTGGTCATACTCACTTTTCATCCGTAATTTATCATTGACGTTGCACTTTTCGTCCCTTTACTAACAGAACATTAGGGACGAAATTTGCAATTTTAATATAACTCAGGGACAAAAAGTGAGCACGAAAGGACGAAAACTGCAATGACAATGATAACTTAGAGACGAAAAGTGAGCATGACCAACACTTAGGGACGAATTCTACAATCACCCTATAACTTAGAGAAGAAAAGAGCAATTTTCCCTAGACTCAACTTCTCTTTTGGAAACAAGGATTGAAGATTTGTTTTGACAATTTAACCTCCAATTAGATAAGTTAATTCCGTTTTCATTTCATTACAATTCTACTTGGTTACTTTGTTGCTTTGATTCATTACTTGTGTTGTTATGGAACCATCCTATATTCTTTCTTCTATGTTTATTTTTGTTATGATTATGTGTGAGTAGTTTCCTTAGGAATGAGATAAGAATGTAGATTAGGTTCATGGAGATGTGAACTTTAATTGGTTGAGTAGAGTGATGAGACTTGGCTTTGATGATGTTAATTAACATGATTGAGTCCCGATTAGGATGTGATTACACCTAATCTAGGCTCGAGGGGTTAATTAATCATACTCCATCCTTGAGAAAATAGAGTAAGTGATGTTAAGACCAAGGTGTTTGATGAACGCCTCTTAGATACCATGACTCATGAGAATGCCCTTGTGTTCTCTAACAATGTGGAATTACATTGAGAAAGGCTTCATCCCAGTTAATGACATCCGTTACGTTATCTAGTCAATTGACTTTCATTCTTGTTCCCGGTATGGTCATGTTCCCTTAGCCTAATCCATTTTCCTATTCACCTCCGCTTTTATATCCTTTGCATTCATTCCAATTTTTATTTGATTGTTGCTTGTTATAGTCTTTTGCTTATCTTGCCACATTAATCTCTATTAGGGATTGGCAATTTTTATAGAATTGATAGTACATTGAGATTGAGAAAACATAAGTTTACATCTATTGCCAATCCTCAAGAAAATGACAAATTCACCCTAATCACTAGGCCGGCCTCGACTCTAGCCATCAAGACATACTTTGTTTAGGATTTGAAGTCGGGTGTAAAGGTTGGACATGGAGAGAGAGAGAGAGAGAGAGAGAGAGAGAGAGATGTACTGGCGTACTGTTAAAGGACAATGGTGATGAGGATGATGTTAGAAGGGGACAAGAAGTTCTATTTATAGTCTCATGTCCTGAGTAGTTGTCAAGACTCGATCAACTTTGTCCAACCATTTGTGGTCACCACAAGTTGCAATATGCATGTCACTGCCTAATCTCCCTTCATTAATAAGTATTGTTTACCACTTCTATTTGCACAAATGATAGGTAGACTAGCTAGTTGCTACTTGGGTAGCTAATCTTATAAATCCTTTGTTTG